GACTCCCGCCGATCGATGGTTGCTGACGCTACCAATCAGCTGATTTGTGCGGTAATTTTTGTTGTTTTCTCGCAATATTCGTCTTGTAAAAGCTGAATTATTCTAGTTTCAGCTTCAATTTTCGGAGGTGAGTATGTTTCCCGAAATTAGATTAGATTCTGCAAGAATTTAGCATGAAACTCCCTTAGAAAACTTGTTTCTTTCTTTTCGCATTTTTTTCTGAATGTCTTCGTTTACTGCGATGCTATTGGCTAAATTCATGCAGAATAAAATCTAGCTTCATTAAAACATACTCACCTTTTCTTCTTAAAGCTGCACGAAGAATTATTTCAGCTTCTCGAAGCTGAAAACAATAGAAATCAGTTTAATTGGCGTATCAGCCATTATCGATCGGGGCGGCGTCGGACCGCTTGCCAACGTGGACGAAGGACCGCCCCACCGTCCGATGAGAACTCGACTGTATTCATTGCTTTTCTCCCAACCGCCGTTTCGTCAGGGCCTGGAGACTGTGAACAATGCCTAATGCCTGAGGGAAGCCCCGAAACGTCGGTTGATGGTCAATTGGCCAGGAGTCAAGTGGGCGAAAAGTAGGTACTGTCCGAGAGAGTAAGGCATTGTTCACACTCTGCGGTCCAGCGTTTCTCTGAAACGCGGCGGTTCGGCGAAAAGCTTTCGATACATATCGACTGGCGGTTGGGCGAAGAGCCTGGCGGTTGGGCGAAAGGGTTTTGGTACGTATCGACGGGCGTTTCGCCAAACCGCGACGTTTTTCGCCTTCGACAAAACGCTAGCTCCATCGCGGTGGCGTTTTTCGCCAGCGAAATCGATACACATCTACTGCTTTTCGCCCAACCGCCCAACCGCGGCGGTTGGGCGGTTGGGCGGTTGGGCGATTCTCCGATCGATGACTATTTATTGCTTTTCTCCCAACCGCCGTTTCGTCAGGGCCTGGAGACTGTGAACAATGCCTAAGGAGGCGAGAGTGTCCCCATAAAATTGAAGGCCAGCCGAAGTGGGTGTTCATCTCTCTTCGTGTAGGCTTCGAGGTGCAAGCCAAACCTCTGAGCTGCAACAAATATAACGATACTCCCGCCATCACTGACCCTGACCGGCGGCGCTGACCAACGCTCTGATATTGATTGCTACATTACTACATATTACTATAACTATTCTAACGCAGCA